TGGGTCCTAGAAATTCATGAGTTGAATTAGGAGAAATTTCGTGAAGGTAAAGCTCATGCATCTCGACTAGAAATTTAACACAGTTGCAGATAGATTCGCTTACAATGCAGTTCATTCGAGATCTTTGATTCTCTAAGATAGAAATTTCCTTTCAGGATTGTTTTGTGTTATGACTGAACATATGTCGTTGTTTATAGCCCATGTGGCATCTTGTTCTTTGGAATAAATCCTCGTTTTTCGCTAAAAAACATATAAAATTAATGATTTTTCTTTCTTTTTTTTGTTTTTTTAATGAAACACCAAATGTGTTGAAATAACATGAAGAGGACAAAGAGAAAGGGAGAAATTAAAGGGTAAGAATATAAATGGTAATTAGGGGTATGCCTTTTTCCTTTTTCTTTATTATTTTTTAAAAAAACATAACATTTATGTTTTAAGAAAATCAACTAAAATTTGTATTTTCTTTTTCATGTCAAAGTGATATGTAGAGAAATGAATTTTGGTTCAAGTTTTCATTGTACCATGTTAGTTTTTGATTTAACGAGATCTAAAAAAATATTAATTAAAAAAACATCTAACACGATCCCACTGATAAATACCCTCAATATATATATTTTTAGTCCTAATCACAAAATTTTGGTAGCTTAACCACAAATAAACAGAGATTAACCATTCGTTATATAAAGTTAAAAACTAATTCAAAAAGGTTAAACCTCTAATTATAGAGATTTTACCATCCTCGTTGTAATAATTTAAATAACTTAAATAATAAAACCTTAAAATTATTTAACAGAAAAACTAAACATTACTAAAATTAAATCAACAAATTATCAACCTCGCTACCACCTATGAGAAAGGAGAAATTGAAATTGAAAGAACCCATTGAGAGAAAGAAACAATGGATTCTTTAATGAACTTCTGTGTAATTTCATCTCTTGTTTTGATATTGGCGACAACAGGAAAATCAGGTTCAGCTTTGGAGGATTCAAAATACCAACGCCCGCTGAGTTCATGGAGAGTGGGGATTGTAAACAAATTGAGCTCGGATCAAGCTCTGTTCCTCCATTGCAAATCAAAAGACGATGATTTGGGCAACCATGTTTTGAAAGTCGACCAGAACTTCCAATGACAATTTAAAGAGAATATGTTTTCTACTACGCTTTATTGGTGCACCTTTAGAACTCCAAAGAATTTACATGCATCGTTTGAAGTGTTCTGGAGAGAGAAAGAGAAGTGGCTATCTTATAGATGCAATTTTCAATCTTGCATTTGGTATGCTAAAGATGATGGCATTTATTTACTAAACATTCCACAAGGTTCGCTAGAACTTATACATAATTGGGAAAACTAATATGCTCAAATAAAATCCACAGCCTTATGTAACTTTATGTAAAGCTCGACACAAGTTCTTATAAATTGAAATTTAAGCATATCGAAATGAAAATATATTTGTCTCTAAGTAATATTTTTTTGTGTAATTTTATTTGCCTCAAACAATAAAGATAAAAAAAGTGAAAAAAAAAGTTTATGGTAAGTAATACGAAGGGTGGAGATTTGAACCTACAATTTCTTTGTCAGAGAAATATATCTTTCTTAACTCAGGGTAAGTTAAAAAATTATACCAGTTGAATAATGAATGACAAAAATGTGTGTGAAAAGATAAAAATTTTCGAGAAAAAAAATTGTATTATCTACTTAAGTTTTTCGCTATTTACTTTTTTGGGTTTATATAATTTTAGGGATCGGTGGTAAAGAAGTTAAATAGTAGATAAGAAAAGTAGAAAAATGCATAAAAATTCAGGAATGAAAGATGAAGAAATTATAAAATTGACAAAAAAAAAAAGAAAAAGAAAAAGAAAAAACTTTGATTCGAGCCTACCTATGCCGACGAAGACATCTATTACCTTAATTTAGTCAAATATTCTAATATATACATGTGCAAGCTATGTACATATTTGTAATTTGAACTTCTGAGTTTTCAATGGTTTATCCATTAAAGTTAATAATTGTTAAGTTAATTAATTAGTATATAAAGTATGTATAATATTGTAAATATGGTATATGTGTATAAGTATGTTATTATCAATATATACTCTTACAAAATCTTGTTTTTTTGGTACTAACATGTGGGAATGTGGTACTCTTTTATACGTGGTATACATATAGTATATATCTTAATGCTTTATATATAAAATAGACTTATAAAATATGTTTTATTGAATCTCCTTCGAGTTGTAGTGGAATTAATTTGCTTTGAGGCAATTACTTACAAATTTGAAGTTGAAGCTTAGGTTCTAGAAATTCATAAACTTAGGAGGAATTTTCTAAACGTGGAGCTTAGACATCTCAACTAGAAATTTAATATAATTGTGGATAGCTTAGCTTGTGAGACAGTTCACTCGAGATCTTTGATTCTTTGCGATAGAAATTTCCGATCTTTGATTCTTTGCGATAGAAACTTCCCTCTGTGGCTGCTTCGTGTTATGACTGAACATGAGTCCCTATTTTTTTTATCAACATATTGGGTGGGGGATCGAAACTCACAATCTGTTGAAGATATACGTCAATTAACCTTGAGTTATGCTCAATCCCTATATATAGTCCATGTGGCATCTTTTTCTTTTAGATAAATCCTCGTTTTGGGCTAAAAAAAATCATATAAAAGTTATTGAGTTTTTTATTTATAAAATGAAAAACCAGATGTCGAAATAACATGAAGAGGACAAAGAGAAAGGGAGCAAGTAAAAGGGTAAAAATATATATTGCAAGGGGTCATGTCTTTTTCTTTTTGATTTATTATTTTTAAAAAACATAAATTTTTTTTTTTTGAGAAGATCGACTAAAATTTGTATTTTCTTTTTCATACCAAATTGATATGTAGAGAAATGAATTTTGGCTCTAGTCAAAAAAAAAAAAAAAATTTTAGTTTAAGTTTTCATTTTACATGTTAGTTTTTTTTTTTATTATTTAGAGAGGTGTCGGAAAATATTTAAAAAAAAGTTCTTACACGATCCCCTTATCAATACCCATACCATATATATTCTTGGCCTAATCCTAAAATTTTGGTGGTTAACCACAAATAAATGAAAATTAATCATTTATTAGATAAAGTTAAAAACTAATTCAAAAAGGTTAAACAACCTCTAATTATAGAGATTACCGTACCAAATTAATAACTTAAATAATTTAAATAATAAAACCTTAAAATTATTTAACAAAAAAACTAAACATTACTAAAATTAGACGAACAAATTCTCAACCTTGCTACCTATAAGAAAGGAGAAATTGAAGAACCCATCGAGAGAAAGAAACAATGGATTCTTTATTAAACTTCTATGTACTTTCATCTCTTATTCTGATACTGATGACAACAGGAAAGTCATGTTCACCTTTGGAGGATTCAAAATACCAACGACCGTTGAGTTCATGGAGAGTGGGGATTGTGAACAAATTGAGCTCGGATCAGGCTCTGTTCCTCCATTGCAAATCAAAAGACAATGATTTGGACAACCATGTTTTGAAAGTCGACCAGAACTTCCAATAGCAATTTAAAGAGAATATGTTTTCGACTATGCTTTATTGGTGCACCTTTAGAACTCCAAAGAATTTACATGCATCGTTCGAAGTGTTTTGGAGAGAGAAAGACGAGTGGTTATCTTATAGATGCAATTTTCAGTCTTGCATTTGGTATGCAAAAGATGATGGCATTTATTTACTAAACATTCCCCAAGGTTCTCTGGAGCTTATACATAATTGGGAAAACTAATATGCTGGAGCAAAATCCACAACTTTGTATAACTTTATGTAAAACTTGACACAAATTCATATAAATATATCAAAATGAAAATATATTTGCTTGAGTAATACATTTTTGTGTGTAATTTTATTTGCCTTAGACAATTAAGATAAAATGAAAGTGAAGAAAAAAGTGTATCCTATACCCTATGACCTTTAGAAATATATCTTAACTAATTGAATTACGTAGGTTAATAAAAAAAAGTATATATAGACATAGAGGGATAAGTTACAAAATTAGTATAAATTGAATAATAAATGACAAAAATGTGTGTGAAAGGATAAAATTTCAAGAAAAAATTGTGTTATCTACTTAACTTTTATACTGTTTACTTTGTTGGGTTTATATAATTTGAGGGATTCGTAGTAAATAAGTGAAATAGTAGATAAAGAAAAGTAGAAAGATACATAAAAATTCAGGAAAGAAAGATCAAGAAATTATAAAATTGACAAATCAATTTAAAAAAAAAAATAATCAATTCGAGCCTCAACGGGGCAAGATAAGGTCGAGGGGCCAGCCCCATCCCCGTCCCATTGGAGATTTTTTCCCTCATCCCCTCTCGTCTCCGAAATTTTTGGGATAGGGACGGAACGGGGATTTCACGATCGGGGATAGGTTCCCACGGAAAATTGATATTTTTTATTATTTCGTATCTAGCAAAAATTGAAATTTAAATCAATTTTTTAAAAACTATTTAACTAGTTATTTTGAATATATAAAAAGTGAACAAAAAGTAGTTAAATGGGATATTAGCTTGAGTTTGAGTTTTTTTTTTAAATAAAAGTATTTATAAAATTAATATATATTAATATTATTATATAAAAAATAATAAAATATTAAGGGACGGAGCAGGGAATCCTCTCCCATTGCCGGTTAAATTGAGAATTCTTCGATCCGATCGAGTCGAGTACCTGCGGGAGTCGGATACCACGAGAATATTTTTACCATCGCTGGCTAAGCTGACAAAGACACTCTACTACCTCGTTTGACTTGTTAAAAAAATGGAAAGAATATAAATCGCCTTAAAAAGATATACGATCTTACAAAAAGGAATAAAAAAAGAGCCGCAAAATTGGCACATAATTATTTCTAGTTAAAAATAAAAACAGATATTTTGTTTCCTAAATTTATGTAAATAATTTACCGAAATATTAACGAGAGGGTGGGAGAAAAGTGGAGGGAAAAACCCTACAGCTGTTAATCACTAGACGGTCAACTCAACAGAGAGAGCCCCATAAACCCTAGACTTATCTTCTTCCTTCGCCCTCTTCGCGCGGTGTTTTCTTCGAGGGGGGCTCTTCGCCCTCTCTCTACCACTTCCTCCGCTGCTTCCGTCCTTGCATCTCTTCAATCTCCACTTGATTCCGGTAAGTTCCTCTTCTCCGGCGCCGTCCGCAAACCGGCGTTTCTTCAGATTGGAGCCTGCTTTTGATATGTTTATCTTTATTGGTTCTAATTCACTCGAGTTGACAGAATATGTTATAGGGTTCGTCTGTTCTTTGTTTCTTTTTCTCTCTCTGTTTTTAGTGTTTTTTATCGCTTCGAGAAATCTTCATTCGGCGTTTTGGATCAAGAAATTTCTTCAGAGTTTTAATATTGAGATTGTGAAACTCTGTAACTTTTTCTTTTTAACCTGTCATATTCTTGTAGATCTTTAACTCTCAACTTTCTTGCTGCGGATGCTTTGCGAGCGTCGATTCTGACTTTTCTTTAAGTTGCAGGGTTTCGACTCGCTACCAGTAGAAATTCTTCCTAGTTCTAAGTACGAAACTTTTGATCTTTACTGCCTTAGAGCTTGTCTTTCCACCAAAGGTTGAAGATCTTCTAGGGCACGAATTTTTGTTACGACATGTTCTGTTATTATTTGTTAATAGCGATACAGGGTGTCTTTTGTACGATGTTGATGAGATTATGAGATGTTATAACACGAACACCCCATCATTGTTTTTGTGGTTAGTTATCTAATAGCTTAAGTATCTCTCTTAAGATTAAAATTCCTTTCCTTTTCTGGCTTTATGCAGGTCTAATTTCGAGATCAGTAGTTCGTTCATCATTCCTTGTTTGTTTGAGGGATGCTGCTTTTCTGATGGTCTTGGTTGCTTTTAAAGATTAATTATCTAGCTTTCTCCTAGTATCAGATTTCTTGACATTTCTTGGTTCAAAATGATTGCCACTGAAACCATCGTACCAAGTAAAAAGCTGAAAATTAAATTTTCTGGAAAACGAGTTGAAGATCATCCAGGTCCACAATCGTGCGACTTTGGGAAGCTTGTTGGACAGAAGTTGTCATTTACTGGAAGGAATGGGTTGAATGTGGATAGTGCATTCAAGTATTCATTGAATGCTTTCAGTACTGGTAAGACCCTTGCTGCTACCTGTTGCAAGTCAAAATCTTCTATCCCACTCAATGTTAAGCGTAAAGCAACTCAGGATATAGAATCTCCAAGAGAGAAGAAGCAGAAGTTGGACCGGAGCACAACACAACAATGCTCTTCGATTTTAAAAACGCTGATGTCCCATCCATGTGGTTGGGTTTTCAACAAGCCTGTGGATCCTGTGTTATTGAAAATTCCTGACTACTTCTCAATCATCACTGATCCTATGGATTTAGGAACTGTCAAATCCAAACTAGGGGGAAATATGTATCGGGCAAGTGAAGAATTTGCAGCTGACATTAGGTTGACATTTTCGAATGCCATGCTTTACAATCCTCCTGATAACAGTGTTCATAAGATGGCCAAGGAACTTAACGAAGTTTTTGAGAAGAGATGGGAACAGATAAAGGAAAAATGGGTTAGTGGAAAATCAAATCTTCATCGTGAAAAACTTCCAAATGGACCAGCAGGAGAAAAGGTTTCCAGAACTCCATCTTCTCACAATATTTTATCGCATAAGAAGTCAATATTATCTGAAAAGAGTTTCACCAAGCCGTCTTCAAATTCAAATGGTGCTGAGGCAAGTAATACCCATGCATTTTATTTAAGGTTCTAGAAGTTTATTTTTAAGTTGTACAGTTGGTGATACACTAGAAGTGGTATAGTGGGTTTTATCTCATTTTGTTTACTTGATTAGTTAACACTCATGGTGAATTGGGCAGTGTTCTTGTCTTTCTTAATGGACTGTGTTTTCTCATTAACATTTCTAGAACTTGTTCATCTAAGTTTTTCCATGTTACAGGTTGATCGTGCTAAAACACTTCCAACTTGTGCGCCCAAGCCTCCCAGGAAGAACTTCCATAAAGGTATGAAGTGGCAGATTAAAGTTCTGCTTTATGGCCCTGTAAAGGAGCTAACTAGCCATGTATCTCATAGGCACAGAAACTGGCAGTAAACATGGTTGTAGCTCCTTTGATAAACAAACTTCGAGACAGGTTGTCAGTAAGTGTACAAGATGTGGTAGCATTCCATGTCAGTGCTGCTCTTCTTTGGATTTTGGCCATGCATCTTCTGGTGGTTAGTTGATTTTTCTATTACTTTCTTTATGTTTATTCTGATAATTGTCTAAAAAAATTAGTTCTGTGTTTTATTTAGATCAATCTAATGAGAGCTTATTGCCAAGAGAAAATCCAGATGTCGGTGGTCCCTGTCCCTGCAAACCAGTATGTAACTGTGGCTGAGTTTTATAAACATTAACAAATTGTTGTATCACTTAGATGATTTACATATAAATTTAGGATTCTCAAACAAGGAGCTTGTCAGCTTCCCAGACGTCCAAGTCAGATCCAGATTCTGATGGTCAGTTCACATATTTCTTAAGGGAAATTTTATTTGTAGTGATATCCTTATCATCTGATAATGCTCGTACTACTTGGAATGATGTGAAGGGATTAGAAGTATTTTGGAGGATGAAAGCAAACCTCCCTGTGATCAGTCTTTTACCCTAATGGCAAATGTTACTCTCGAGGAAGGTCAGTTTATCTCAGTGTGTTAGATATAGCATTTGTTTGTATTCGTTGAGTGCATTCTCATTGTTTATGTTCTGTACTCTGTCTCTTATTTATTTATATCTTTAACATATGGTGAGCCTTTTAATCAGGCATATCGGATTTACTCCATCTCTTCTTACTTGATGCAGAGAGTTCTACCCCAATTTTTGATGTTCAGCTTTCACCAAAGAAGGCTCTCCGTGCTGCAATGCTTAAGAGTCGCTTTGCTGAAACCATTTTGAAAGCTCAACAGAAGACACTTCTTGATCTTGTAAGTTCATTAATTTCAAATCAAAGGTGTTGTGACCGTTTAGCTCTTGATAGTCTACAGTGGTATAATGACATTGGCCTCATCCATATTAGGGTGATAAAGTTGATCAACTCAAGATGCAACAGGAGAAAGAGAGGTTAGAAAAGAGGCAGCGTGAAGGTAAATGCAACCTTTTCATCGTTATTAAAGTGGACGTTATTTTTGTTGAGTATTTAACTGCTATCAGAATTTACTTGATTAAATAAAGAGACATTTACATGAATAGCAAAATCTAAATATATACTTTTAAATATAGTTGAAAGTTTAAATTTTAATTTATGCTATGTTTGGATATTTCTAAAAACACATTAAATTTATGCTATGGAGTAAAATTTCTAGATGGAAAACTATTTTGTTGGCCGAGAATCAAATTTTAATGTAATTCAAATATTCCATTGGATTTTAATGTGATTGGCAACAATCACATTTTGAGTTTGAGATAAGATTGCTCTTGTATTAACGGGCTATTATGACAGTTGCTTTTAAATGCTTTATTGCTTTTAATGTTCTTTTGAAAATAAAAACGTAAAATGCTTCACATTAAAACTTCTTATGCATCACACTGCTCGTACACTAATGATTGTGCATTTTCTTCTTTAAATTCTACAGAGAGAGCTCGTCTAGAAGCACAAATAAAGGCTGCTGACATGGCCTTGCGACTAAAAGCAGAGGCTGAAAAGAAACAGCAACGAGACAGAGAAAGAGAAGCCTCTCGTATGGCTGTTCAGAAGGTACGTTGGCGTTTACTATCACTAATATTATATTCTATTCCATTCAATAGACGTAGCAAGTATCCTTTACCAGTTGCTTCTGTCTTTTAGATTAAAAGGACTGTTGAACTGGACCGTAATCTAGAAATTCTAGAGGAGCTGGAGAAGCTCTGTGGAGGAGTCCTCTTCATCCAACATCACCGTGGTATCGCATCTGCAATGGTGAAGAGGTCATTTGACAAGGTTCAGTTTCAGAACCCTTTAGAACGACTCGGTTTGTTTATCAAGGATGAATACCTGGAAGACGAAGATGACGAAATGATCTGTGGGGAGGAGGTAGAGATTTTTTCCAGAAGTTAAAGACTTCCATCTATGTTTATTAAGGGGAGTGAATTTGACTGCTTGACCATTTGCCGTTTGGTGCATGGGAAGCAATATTTGTAAATGGTATTCAATATTTTGTTGGAGTTAGGATTTAGGACCTTTCGAGTTCTCTAACTGAAGTAAGTAGTGTTGTATAGCCCGAAGTTTATGAATGGGAAGCAGAAAAATGACAAGGATACCTCAAAAAGAAAAAAAAAAGATGGAAAAATTAAAATTAAGTGAATAAACATGTTAGATGCTGCAGCTGTCTATTTCTCTTTTTTTGGGTTCTGTTATGATTCTGGTTTAAATGTAAGTGGTAGGTGAAATTACAATTTTTGTCTATATTCTTGTTCGTTGATTTTAATGTTTCTATTTTTGTGTTTGTTTCATTTTAAGCTTTGTTGTTTTAATGTTAACAATTTTGTAGACCCAAGTAAAAATCTTTTTTACTTTTCAAGTAATATATGTCTTAGATAAAGACAGGTACTTACCAATCAGAAGCTAAGATTCAAATAATTTTCATGTAAAATTTGAAGATTAAAGCAAAATATTAAGAAGTTGAAAAATTAAGGTATAATTTTTTAAAGTTAATGAATATTCAATATTTAATAAGCATTAAAATTCAAAGACAAAAAATACTTAAATTTTATAAGTATAAAGACAAAAAAAAAATTATAGTTTAAAATATAATTTAAAAAATATTAGAATTGAAATAGAAACATAAATCTATATATTAAGTTCAGTGGCCTGACAGTGTAGAAATAATGCAAATACAAATACATTAATACAACACTCTTATTTCTGATAGGTACATATAGAATAATATTACACACAAGACACAAATATTAATAAGAGGTGTAATTTATAAGTAATGGTACATGCTTATTCATACAAAATTAAACCCTATATATATATATATATTTGTGTATATATATATGAAGGAAATGGTTAAGCAGATGCATTGGGGTGATGGGTTGGGATCTTCATTCTCTCCAAGTGGGATTTTCCATTGAAAGAATGGGAGAAGAAATCCTTTACATAATCTTCCATTAAAATTGTCCTAAACTTTGGAGGATTCTGAGGGCTCAAAATGCAAGTTTCTGGTCCAATCTCTGCATCAAATCTGGGATTGTAGAATGCTGCTATTGACATTCTTCCATTCTCTGAGTTCACTACTGCCCTGTGTTCTATGCTGCTGTAACACCCATTGCTCACAATCTGCCCTCACAAAGAAACGATATCGAGTAGCAAAAACAAGAAATGAGAAACCAGAAATGGAGAAAATTACCAGGGGTTTAAAAGTGTTCGTGAAAAGTGAGAATAATTAAACAAAAGTTGTTTTGTTCCAATAAATGACCTTAATCTTTTAAAAATAAAAACTTTATTCAAAGGGGCATTTTGATGATCTTCAAATATTAAAAGTATGAATTGAAACTCTCTTTTCTTTTTTTTTGTTGAAATAAATTAAATCTCTGTTATTAGGAAGAATTGAAGATGACAGTCAAATAAAGAAGAAAATTAGGAAACTTTACTTCTCAAAATGATTTTTCATTTCCTCACATATTTAATAAAGGAGTGAAGTTACATGTAGAGAATATATTTTAAATTCAATTTGTTAGGTGTCTTCGAGATATATTAAATTATTAAGTTTATCGTGATTTAAGCATCCTAACCCTTTGATAATGCTAATTTAATATGATATTAAAAAAATTAAGTAACATGAGTATAACTTAACAATTAAGGCATTTTGCTCATGTCTTAATAATGGGACTTCAATATTTTATCTCCACATTTATTTGTAATAAAAAAAAATATAATCTTAGATTTCAATTTTTTTAATGCTGATATGGTTAAATGCAGATGAATAAGCATTTATATCTTTTGTTTTGAGCAAAATAATTTTTTTTTCTAATTAATAAGGCTAAAATATATCCCAACTTTTCACCCTATATAGCTAAAATTGTTTTAGTTGGCCTATATTTCAATAATATCATTCAAAAACTTATAATTATTAGTAATTATAAAATTTTATTTTAGTTCCAACTTCTTTTAAAAATGATTTATAACAAGTTATCTAGACATTTTTTATGGCTAATTACTATGAATTTCAACCTTTTACTCCATTTCTCACAAATTAATTTCTTGAAATAGAAAATACCTAAAAAGTTATGTATTTTCCATGTACTAGTCCACGATATAAAATTCATGTCATCGAATATATAAATGCAACAAGTTATATTAGATATATATATATATTATTTTTTTTTTTTTTGAAAGAAGCAGATATTTAAGAACATTTTAATTAAGAAAAACATTTGATAAATTAAATTTGAAGACCTTACGGAACTCCCAAAACTTTTCAAATCCATACAAATTTATGTAATGGGTAACTGAATTCCTGTTTCTAGTTATTATAAAATTTTGATTTCTTTATTTTTTTAATACAATATGTGCGGTGGAGACCGTGACTGAATTATCTCGATTATTATTATAATTGTTACTGAATCGTTGCACTTAACAAAAAAATTGAAAAGAAATGAAATTTGAGAGTGAATGTGGTAAACCTCGAGAATATCTCCAACGTTGACAATGAAGGCATCCGGGATGAAACTCACAGGGAACCAAACGCCATCTTTCTTAACTTGGAGGCCTTCCACTCCATTGAGCTGGTTCAAGATGGTCAGCCCCGTCGCATCGGAGTGCGGCCTCAGACCGACGACCAACTCGGGTGTCGGGCACGGAGGATAATACGTCATCCTCATCGCCTCCATCCCGTCCTCAAACAACTCCTCCATCTTCCTCACATCCATCCCTAAACCTCCTGCCACCATCTTCAACAACGCCATTGCTATCTTCTTCGTCTCTTTCAAGTACAATTCCAACGTGTTTCTGCAACCATACCAAGTTAAATTGTTTCTATCTAATTCTTATACTTCCAAATTTTTAATAAATTTTTTTTATAACTTGAAATCCTTAGCTCTTTAGCTTTTAGCTTTTCAACACCTATGTAGGGCACACCAACATCAAGGTAAAATTCGAACTCAAAAGACATCAAAGATTTTTTATACTAAGGTCACCTAAAGATTTAAATTCATAGACAGTACCACAGGATCTCATGCTTAAATAAATTTTTAAAGTTGAGGTTGATAAGATTGTTTAATACAAGTTTTTTATTTTTTACTTTGGAAAATTTAGCCTACATACCACTTTTATTTTTTTTTTATAATCAACTTTTTAAAAATATTTTCAGAATCTAAAGAAATTAATTTTTTTCTGACTAATAATTCAAGTGTATTATTAGGTAAAAAAAAACACCTAAGAGATTATGAAAAAACAAACACAATTTTTTTTAGAAGCACAAAACTAAAAACAAAATATCGATCTTCTCAACATGATAGAAATTCGATTTTCAATTTTGTGTCTAATAAATTTTTGGTATCGATACTGTTTTAATTTAAGAGAGAAAGAGAGATGACCTTAAAGATGAAGGGAGGCGGGGAAGAAGATGGGGTCTTCTTCTAGAAATAGGATTGGTTATGATGTAAAACCTATCACCCCAATCAAGTTTCTGATCTTGGGACAGAACCATGCTTCCATAACCCTCAACTTCTCCACCCTTTATTCCAAACTTCATCTTCTCTTCCAATGGAACCTCAAAAAACTCTTCAATCTCACGCTTCACCTCTTCCAACAAACAACGCCTAACCCCATGGTTCACCAACTGTCATTTACATAAATTCATTCATTAATTAATTGTTAATCCTAATTAAAAACAAAGAAAATTAAAGTAAGAGTTTATTTTGTGCACGTACCTGAAACAAGCCCCATTGTTGGCAAGCAGAGTGCAGTTTTTGAAGCTCAGACTCAGAGTGAGAGAGCAATTGGTTCATATCAATGGTGGGTGGCACTGGGAAGGAACCAGGATCTGAGCTTGAACAAGGCTCCTGATCTAAACGAATGAAGTTTTCTGGGATTTTTGAGCTCTTTTTTGCCATTTCTTTTACGCTAATCATCTTTATAATGATCCTTTCAGTTTTGTTATTGTTATGCCATCAAACACCATAATGCCTTTCTCTATTTATACACTCCCATAAATGACAAGTTCATCGTTTTTAATGTTGTCTATGGAACTACAAGTAGCGGGAAATAAACGCTTTCTGACACGGATAAAGATCACCCCACCGATGTCTTCATATTTCTACAATAGTATAATATTTTCTACTTTGAACATAAACTTACACGACATGAAGATACCACTTTGTTAGGAGATAATTAATTGATCCTCTCGTAAAGTATCAGATTGTCCTCACTTAATGATATTTTATACATACTTATCTCATCAAGGTAGACTTTAATTTGCTCCTTCCGAACAAGAATTTTTCTTTCTCATAAAATATTATATTTTATATATATGCAAATATATCACTTTTACTAAATTTGTACACCTTGATTTCTTACACTTACTCCATTTTTACATATTATTTTTCCATACTTGGAATTTTCATAAAATTCTGTTTTGATCTTTGTAAATTTTAAAAAGTAAGTAATTACCATGGTGTTACGGAAGGATCACAATAGGATTTTTATGCAAGTGTGTAATACCTTAAATTAATATCAACTTGGTTTGGAAATTTGTTTTCATTTTTTTTAATTTAAAGAGTCATTGTAGTATGTTATATACTGATGAGTTTTTGTCAAGAGATGGACTTTTTCGATTTCGCTAATTTATCCGACTTCTAAAAAAACCCATCTTCATTCATCTTAAAATTTCATTATGGGGAGGTGGAGATTCCAACTCTCAACTTCATAATTGGATACATATGCCTTCACCTACCATCTATGCTCTGATTGGCAAGAAATGTCGTAATTTAGGTTAAGTTGTACTAAAAGAATTTAGGTTAAGTTTTACTAAAAGGGAAAAAAAAATCAAACATCATTATTTTGGTTCTAGTTAAGAGTCCTTTTCATTTCAGTCACTTTGACTAAATTTAGTCGCTACGGTGCAATTTCAATTAATCTTAAAATTAGTCCTTATCGTTAACTCTTAACTTATACTAGAGACTAATTTCAAGATTTATGGAGCCTATAGATATTAAATTTGACCATTTGAAAGTATAGAGACTAAAATATAATGGACTCCGAAAATACTGGAAGAAAACAATATTTTAATCAACAATTTATTCTTTTTAAGTACAAAATTTCAAAATAAAGTATATATTCATTATTTTATTTTAAAAAATTATCGTGAAATATTTTTAACATAAATATTAATATTATTGAGGAAAAAAACATAACATTTAATATTAATAAAAAAACATAAATATTAATACTTTAATTATCTTTTCATCATATTAAAAAACCTAATCTAAAACTATAGGAGTCATAGTAAACTACACCCAAGACAATATTTTTCTAGTACAACATGTGGGGTTCAAACTCACGACATGTTATTTTAGATAATTATTATAAGGTATAATTGTGCTATAATGATCATGATCACCATTTTACTAATTATATATATTTTTCTAATTAATTATGATTTCTTACCAATAGTATTAACGCCAAAATGAGCCTAGCTCAGTAGCAATTGGCATATATTTTCAACCAAATGATTGTGAGTCCGATCCTCACCCCACATGTACTCAAAAAATAAATAAATATATAACATTAATTAAATTTTGGTTTCAGTTCAATATTAGTATAAAAACTTATTCCCATAATTAGTATAACTTTTTTAAAGGAGACTTAAAATTACAAAAAAAAAGGAATTTTTAATTTCAACTCATCTCTTTTTTAAGGAAACCTAAATGAGTTGTTCAAGTACAAAGATCACTGATCAAGATCACTGATCGTTCACTATGCAATAAATACAATTTAAAAGTGATTAAATTATCCTTAAAAATGACGTTTGAATGTTATCACAATAAAATTAAATAATATTTATTTAACTAAACTTGTTTCAAAAAGAGTCACAAATAAGAAAAACAGAATAGGTAAAAGATCAAAATTGTGGATTATTATTCAAACACAGAAGTTATAAAATATTTATTGATCAGTTTAATTTTTTTTTTCTTGAACAAACTTTAATTTGGTCATGGGATTGTGATTTAAAGTATAGTTTTTTTTAAACAATATTCCACGTGCTTAATTTTATTTTATTTTTTTTTTGACAGGACTTAATTAGATGTTAGGTAATTTTTAACTTAATTTATTATCATTATTTGAGGACACAGTAACTACTTTTCAATTCACATGGTTTTGACAACTTCCAAGGGAAGCTTTTGATTATTATTTAAATAATGGAATAAACAAAACTTTTGTATTTGTTTTATTTCATTTTGCGTTAACCAATCAACTCAAATAATCATTACAAGAATTTTAGAGAGAAAAAACTTAGAAAAAATATCACATATTTAGATAGATAAATGAAACTAATCAAACTAATCGATTAGAAAATAAAATAAAAATACAAAAAAGAGAAAAATAAATTTTGTAATAAGAAATTTAGAAAAAAAACAAATTTATAGCCAGAAATAAATTTTTTAGAGATAATACGAGAAAAACAAAAAAAGAGTTGAGTATCAACCTAAAAAAATTATTTTGAAAGATACAAATCAGTTTTTTGGAACTATATATATACATTTTAAATTTACATAGAATTTCAAAATAGTTTTTATAGAAAATTGATTGGCTGCGAAACAATCCTATTTTTAAAAAACAAAAAATTAAAAATAAAAATAAAATCAAACCGGCCTTTAAGGTTCTGGTTCTGATGTTTTCCACTGACTCAACTGTCAGCCATTCAATCTGAGAAATAATTTTCAGATTTCATCTATATATAACTGTCAGCCATTATATGTGAGAAATAATTTCCAGATTTCATTTATATATATATATATATATATATTTATTTATTTATTTATTTATTTATTTATTGTTCTGTTTTAAAAATTAAATTCTAGAACTTTTAAAAATAGTATCAAACATTTTTATATAATGTGTGCAAACTGTAATGAGATCGATTCCACGACAGAGATGGCTATGCCAAGACAAGAAGTTTCAAAAGCCATTAGTAGTCAGTGTGACGTTGGAGGAAAAATAACGGTTAAATATATATATGTTTTTGTTCTTAATTTTCTTTTCAATTAATATTTTTTTGAATTTAAAATTATTTAGGTTCATGTATTTTTAACTTTGGATTTGAAGTTTTTTTTAGTAATCTTTAGCTTTTGTCACTCTTTTAGTCTTGTAGGTTTGAATGGTCCATTTTGGTCCTGTTTTTTTTACTATTTTTTAATCACAATTTCAATGTAATACTAGATTAAATAACCTTTTTAATATGTAGCCATAACTTTGAATTAAAAGATCTCCACTACATATGTATATATAGAATTTGTGTTAAAATTTTTCAAATAGAAAAGTATATGACAAAAATGAACCTTGTGGGAGTACGATGATTAAAGAATATTTTGAAAGTATGTAGACTAAAATGAATAAATCAAAAGTGGAAAGTAAAAGAACATTAATAGTATTTAAACTTATTTTTTTAATTATACTATTTCTTCTATTGAATGTTAAAATTAGTCGATGATTAATTAGTTGGGATGACGTGAAGCTTATGAAGCTTAGTGAGTTAATATAAATTTAAAAAATTAGACCACCTAAAGTAAAAATGAATTTTTCATAATATTTGTTCATATAGACAAAAGAAACATATATCTTAATCTCGTGTGAAATAAATAGGACGAACCAAATGAATTTTTCTACAAAATTTAGAAAATAAAAAATATATTAAAAAATTTGGAGACGAAAATAAGATTATAAATCATATTTAAAAGGGTGATGTGGAATAAAATGGGTGTTTTTAATGGTTTAGCACAAATTTCTTGTTGGTTCCCTTTTGGTTTTGTCGGTAAAGTGTTGTTAAATCATCTTCTACAAATATAATCCTTCTAGCACAAAGTTGGAGTTGGTTCAATTTCTTAACCACTTTAATTTTGACTCGATTTATAAAGTTTAATGAAGAAATAATAGGAAAAGGAGTGATACTGTAGAGGTTCGATTTTTATTTTTTTTTTAGTTTTAACGGTGATCGTACCTTCAACCTCTAGGCAATAAGTATTTTATCTATCAAGCTATGTTCGAATTGACTTGCGGAGAGATTTGAATTCAAATTATTTTTCTTTTATACCCCATGTTAGATCTAAACACTTAATGGGTTAGGTTTCAAAAAATATTAGTTAAACGGTAAAGTCGAATATTTAGAATTTTAGCTGCTTTCATGTTGTGTTTTTATATAGTCATTTATTGTTGTCGTTTCAATTTACTAATTTAGCACAAATGAATATTTAAATCTATAACATTGATACCAATATGAATTTAATAACTTAGTAATAGGCATCTTGTTCCTTCTCAAAAGTCGAGAGGTTGAATCTTCAACTCACATTTGTTGCACTAAAAAAACATAAAACAAAATAAAACAAAGATGAGTAGAAAAAATATACCTTCATCATTTTTTTCATAGTTTTTAGTGGGTATTTTGGAAGTGCGAAAAAGGGCACTGAATTTCACAGGCTAACATTTTCATAAATTCATAATTAAGTTCGACATCCACAATATATTCATAATTAAGTTCGACATCCACAATGAGTAGTGAATTAATATTTTCATAATATAAAAAAATCAGCAAAATATACAAAAATATTAATGAGGAAATGTTTATTTATTATTTATATTTATTATGAATTTTGTATTTTTATAACTTTCTAAAAAATATCCCACTTAACGTCCACATTTTCATTTTTCATAAAAATGAAATCTCGACGTTTATCGAAGAAACAAGAGGGATCAAAAGAACAAGGGAACTTGCAATATATCATAGGTGGAAGGTTAAGCTTATTAATATTAATGAGATTTCATCCTAAAACTAATCTACAATGAAAAGAATAACTCACTTCTATTATAAACACATGTTAGGTCACTTATTTTTTCAACGTGGGATCCTTAACAAAAAATTTTCTTCATCATTTACACAGAGAAGGTGTTTGTGAAAATACCACAAAGAAAAATCCGACCTCGGGGAGCGATGGCATGGCAAGGAGTAGCCAAAGCCAAAGTCAAAGCCATGGAGTGCAATTCTTTGTTCTGTGTTTACTAATTTCATGTGAGTTTCGTAAGTAAATGAGTCTCGTGATCTGACTACTTCTCAACTTTGACACCAAAAAAGCCATAGAGTTTATGAACTATTTTTTTGAAATATTCATAAATGAATTAAATTTATCAAACACATCAGCTCAAATTTTTTAGTTTAGTGGTGCTTTATTCATCTGTAATTAACATGGTATAAGAGTGGGAGGTCCGTGCTCAAATCCCTTGTCGTTTTCTCTCCATTTATTATAATCTTCGCTCGTTATTCGTGAAATTTTGGAGAAGAGAGAAGTATTGATGGCTAGTAGTTTGATTCAATGGAGGAAAAAAATGGGCAACTTTTTTTGCACGTTTTTGCAATGGGATATTCGAGAGATGGGGAATGGGGAACCAGCAACCAACCAAATGTTTGTGTCATCCATTACGCAACTACTTTTCTTGAGTGCCCATCACTTCATTTCTTCTCTATTCTTTTTCAAAAATGTTTCTAGACCAAAGAAATATTCAAAATGATTATAAAATTAATTAGTCGGAATATTATTATCTCACGTTTCGATCGTTAAACTTTTTGAACTTAAATCTTATCTTGATTCATGACTTTGATGTTTTCTCGCTGGTTCTATATTTATATTTAAATTTTCATTGTGTTTGAACTTAAATCTTATCTTGATTCACAACTTGGATGTTTTTTCGCTGGTTGTATATTTATATTTAAATTTTCAAACAATGAATATAGTCTTACATCTTATCGATACAAATTTTTTTAGGTAAAGTTAAAAGTAAAGTTGACACAGGGGTTTAATCTCAAATGGAACAAATACCCTATTATTAAGGATTTTTATTTGAGGCCCTTGTCCTAACATCAACTTTGCATTAGAGAACTATTTTAGTCTTTTCTCATTTATGTTTTAATAAATTATATAATAGAAACTTGGTATATAGGCAAATTTTTTGTTAAATGATTAATGAAAAATTAAGGTCATAAGTACTAAAATAAATGAAAATGAATTAATATAAAGGTTTAAATCAAAGTAAATTTTTTTATTTCTCGAAATCAATACCGCGTGGATAGAGCCAATTTAGTAGGTTAAAAAGCCAAATACGTTTGGTTTTCTTTTCTTTTCAAAATTTAACAAATATTGTAAATCATTTTCTTTTTTGAGAAAAATATTGTAAATATTTACTATAAAGTATATGAGTGTCATTTTCTGATCTTGAATTGATTGTTTCTTTTTAGGAATCATCAAGAAGACGGATAATGCCGGCTTTAATTTATAACTTTATATATATATATATTTGACAAATTATTTAAATATAATAGAGGTTCTGGTGTCATCGATGATGTGAAAATGAGATAACAACTTGTTATTTGTATGTGAGACATTGTCTCTTGAACGAAATGTCATTAAGAGCACGTTTGTGAAATAATTTAATAAATTTATATATCAAATCTTTTTTTAGGGAATAAACTATTATATATCAATTGATATGCGAATCAATTTTAATAAAAATTTATAATGATGAGTTTTCCATTCTTCTTGTTTATTATTAATTTCAAGGATAAAAATTGAAGGATATTGACTATATGAGTAAAATATATATTTACACACATAGATATATATATTTTTCATGTAAATTTAAGTTATAACACATGATATATAATTTTCCTATAAAAAATTCAAAGCATTTCATTATACGATCAAAAGTGTCTAGTCTCATATTATTCATTTTTTAACTTTTCAAACCCTTCTTAAAAATTTAACACTATTAGTGAAAAATAAACATAATTCATTGAGTTAGTCCAACTTGATAACATATTCAAATTCATTATTGTGATTACCTTTTAACTTTTTTTTTTTTTTTACTTTCATAGCTATACAATTGGCTTATCTTATCTTCACAAATAGAATGCTTACTAGTGGATCATTGACAACTAAGTTGTTTGTGATAAAAATAAAATAATAACAAATTAATTAATTATTAAACCAATGAAATTATACCACACAACTTAGATAATAGTTAATAAAATTAGGTAAAGTCCTCAAAGTTTGCCAAATATATACAATAAGAAGTATTTTAGGTAATTTAAATAATAAAATTATGAAAAAGACCTTTAATTAAGAAATATGTACCTTCTCAAAGGCAAAATAGTTGCTATTGAAAAAATCAAACACATGCACAAAGTCGTTCGACTAAAATTTAGCATGTGAAAAGAAAAATTAATTCAATAAAAAAAAGGGTTACGTTTCCTTGAAAATGATGAGGAGTTGTTCTTCTCTCCATTTTCGTGTCATTATTTATTAATGATGAAGAATGGATCCTTAATTTGTTGACCTTGCTAAAATTAAAAATCATTATTAATTCTTTTATTGAAAGATAAAGTATGTTACATTCTCATTTCCTCATTTCTTCATTTTAGCACCTAATGTTCGGGTATTTATTACTCTTTTTTTCCTTTTTTTTTTAGTATACCTAGAGATGGAATTCGAACTCATGACTTTATCTTAATTGAATCGATTTTACTTCATACTTTCTCTAATTCTCATTTTTGTTAGATAAATATAACGGATATTCAAACTAAATAAGTTGTGATAATATGAAGAATAAAAATGTGAATAAAACGTCTCAACAAAATAGATTTAATATTATATAAATTAGACCTAGAAATTGCCCAAATCTTTGAACATCCAAAATTTGCTAGGCTATCTTTGATATTTTAAATTGATGGGTGCAAAACGTGACAATTAACCTTCTTTATTTTTAGAAAAAAAAAGGAGAAATTTTATTCCATAATATAGTTTTAAGGGATTTTTTTAAATGTTACTATTTTTCAATTTTTTTAATTATATCATAAGTTTGACTTGTCATGGTTCAGTCACCTATTACATTTAAATTTGACTTTCATTTGAATTGTACTATTTTTATACTATTTTAAATTTTTTATAGTATTTAAAAATACATATTTATTTTATGTTACTGTCGAAAAAAATATAAATATTAATAAGCTTTTGCTCAATCAGCTGAGAATAATTTTGAAAAATACAAATTGATATTTAAAGATACCCAAACACTCTAATAAATAGCCTAATTAACAATCTCGATTAGTTAAGTTTTCAGTTATTTTTAGATATGTATGACTAGCCAGTAGCCACAAGCATCGATAGAAACTATTTTTCTCACTTATTATTATTATTTTTTTTTAGTACAGGATTCGAACTCACAACCTCGGTATATGTCAATTACCGTTGAACTATGCTCGCTTTGGCCTCTTCTAATTTTGTTCTTTTAATTAGTTAGACTACATTGGGATTGACCCATCTCTTCGCAACATATTCATGAATATATCGTATTATTTGCAGTATTATATCACAAATACAAAGTAAAGATTTAAACCTACGACTTTTAAAGATGTTTTTAACCATATATGAACAAATTTATACGAGTCAATTTTTAAGATCCTGCTCCACTATGAACATATGGATAAGGACCCGACTGTATCGGATGGAGAATCGGAACTGTCGGTATCGGTCGCCGATCTTCATCGGTTGGCAATGAGAGATTCTGCTGCTGTAAGTAGCATTTACAGGTAGGGAAAGGAAATGGGGATTGTTCCATGTATGTAAAGGGTCTGCTAATCTTGTATGGGGAATGTGGACTCAGAGCTGTGAAGGTGAAGGAAGGTCAGTAACTTCTGAAATGGGCCTTCCCCTATTTGTTGGAAATGGGCTTTCACCTGGGCCCAGGCCTTGTTTCAAAAAATTCATTTCAATCATTGTGGCTGGGAATTTGAAATTCGAACAAGATTTTTTCAAACCACTCTATTAAGGCCTTGGACTGATCAGTTGAAGCCCATAACTCAACATAAGAATAGAATGTGGGTACTGTTGAAAAAATCTGATGAATCGAGTAGGATTGAATTATAAATTAGTTGAAGTTAGTCTGAATTCAAATAATTCCACATGGAAACAAATTAATGTCTCATTGGATTGATTAAAAATTTCAACTTTTGGGGATAGAAGTTGGACCACAATGCTTATTTTATTTAGAATACGATCTCATGATCCATCTCCAAAGAACAATGCTGACACATTCAAGATAAGATTGCCTAGGTTGACAATTACAATGCAACTGAAACGCAGCCTTTGTCTTACTCAACAGTTGCATTAGAAACAAATAGTTTTCATTGATGCAAATTGAATGCAACATTTACTTGTGTATGTGTGTGTGTGTTCAATAGGAGCTTCTTGGTGGGGAGATGGAGCTGCAGCTTGGTGATTCTCTTCTGGTGCCTTGTGTTCGAGAGTTGGCGAAAGGCCCGCTGTCGACGGTTCCCCTTCGATACGTCCGCCTCGACCAAGATCCTCCTTTCGAGTTCGCTGACAGTAGTGCAGCCCAAATCCCTGTTATTGATATGCACAAGTTATTATTCTCTGACCATTCCGAAGACTCTGAGCTTGATAAGCTCCATCATGCTTGCAAAGATTGGGGATTCTTCCAGGTACTTGCAGAGTTTTATCTGTCTTTTGAAAGGTTATATCTTGATATCATATTTTGTAGATTAATTTTCTTTGTGCAGTTGATAAATCATGGAGTGACTGATGCATTGGTGGAGAGTATGAGATCAGGCATTCAAGAACTGTTTGATCTTCCAATGGAAGAGAAGAGGAAGTTGTGGCAAAAGGCAGGAGATTTTGAAGGATTTGGACAGAACTTTGTTGTCTCTGAGGAGCAGAAGCTTAATTGGGGAGACTTGTTTGGAATTATTACACTCCCTACTTATTTGAGGAAACCCCATCTATTTCCGAACCTCCCTCTCCCATTCAGGTGTAATAAATTTTCAATTTTGTGTCTAATAGGTTCCCGAACTTTCAATTTTGTATCCGTAACAAAATTCTTATTATTTTCGTTGCCTTCAGAGATGATTTGGATACTTATGCATCGGAAATGAAAGTTCTAGCAATGAAACTACTCGACTCGATGGCGAAAGCTCTGAAAATGGAAGGTTGCGAAATGAGAGAGCTTTTTGAAGAAGGAATGCAGGGAATAAGGATGAATTACTATCCTCCATGTCCTCAGCCAGAGCTTGTCATTGGACTCAACAATCATTCTGATGCATCAGGCATTACTATTCTTCTTCAACTCAATGAAATGGAAGGCCTCCAAATAAGGAATGATGGCAGGTGGATCCCTGTTAAGCCTCTCCCAAATGCTTTTGTTGTCAATGTTGGAGACGTTATGGAGGTACGGTCCGTCCTCCAACAAATTTACAAATATGACAAAACTATTTACCATCTATTACAATTCCTCTAATTGTAACGAACTTGTAAAACTGATCATGTCAAATGTGGACCTCCAGATTGTGACAAATGGAATATACCACAGCATCGAGCATCGGGCGATAGTAAACTCAGTGAAGGAGAGGCTTTCAGTGGCCATGTTCTACAACCCAAGATTAGATGGGGAGATGGGTCCAGCTCCAAGTTTGGTCACCGCAGAAAGACCAACTTTGTTTAAAAGAATTCGTGTCATGGATTACTTTAGAGGGTTTTTCTCTAAGGAATTGAATGGAAAGTCATATCTTGATGTTATGAGGATTGAGGATACAAAATAAAGAGATTGATTAAAAAATTGTACTTGATAGTTGATTTGAAATATCTTGAAGAGACCTGTAAAGTCATTCCAATGTTGAAAAAAAGTGAAAATTAAATTCTTGAAACGCAAACATACTCGTGAAATCATAAAAATACTTATTTAGAATAGATACAGATGCAATTCTAAAAACAATTAAAAAAAATAGTTTTAATAAAACTAAAGAACCTATTATTACTTCCTTGGTATAGAACCAATTGAGTAAGAGTTCGTCTAGGGTTATATCGCACTTCTTTTTACAATAGGTTA